ATTATTTTTCTTGATGGGTTGGAAATTCAACCTGTGGTTATCGATATGTTGGAAACCATTATGTGATTTGTATTTAATTTTTTTGTTAGAGTAATAGAAATTCCAAAATAATTTTGTTTAGTCATATCCCTTGAAATTTATAAATTTGACTACAACGCTTGGCATGATCAGAGTATTGTAGTTCTTTTATCTCTTGAACCGGGAAAAGAGGGGGTTAGACAAGGGGGTTAGATAACCTGTATCTATGATGGTCCCTTTCCTGAATAAGGGCCAACTCGGTTACTTGCACCAGCATTGCAGGTGCTGATGCTGTTGCAGAGGCGAACGGTTGAGTGTCTTAAAAATGTCATCACAGATGCATTTATGTCTTGAAAATGTCATCACAACCTGCAAGTGCAATTTTTTGCATTGTTGAAAAAAAATGTCACAAGTGATTTATGTCTCTATCATAAATTAATCATTTTAAGAACAACAAAAAGGATATAATTTGTAGTTTCTGTTATTTTTATGATTTTCTCTTTTCTTTTTTCATCATGCAATTTTTGTAACGTAGAAGTATCCAGCTCCAAATAATTTCATGATAAGGCTATTTCACTCGCTGAATACCTGATATAATTCAGTGCTATATTTTCTACAAAATTAAATAATTTTTAATTTTATACAATATTGTAGATTTTTTTTTTCAAAATCAAATAAATTTGTTTTATATATAATAATAATAACAATAATAAAATAATTACAGTTGGTGCAAAATCTGCACATTGAGCAATGGACGCATCAATGGGCTTAATGACGCAACAATCGGTTTAACAAACCTATAAATCTGTTGATTTTAGTATATGTAAGCATTTTTTTTATTAATTTGTCTAAAATTAAATAATAGTGGTTCGAAAATATATATGCAAATTTTAACTCGATTATGAACTAAATTTGCGATTTCTGGTTATTCATTGACTTGGTGCTTCAAGAAGTAATATTCCATTTAAAAATTTTCTTACTTTTTTGCATCTACATGTAGACTCGAAGCAATGTTGCTTGAAGCTCATGAAAAGTTGCCAGCGGCTGAAAAGGCTTACTCGAGCTTGTTAGAGGAAAATTAATTTGTTCATGTAGGAGTAAAATCAATTTTACCTATTAAATTCTATGGCATGTCGGGATTGATGTTTGGGTGAAACAATTTATTTTAATGTTTTGCATTACTACTGGATATATATTTACAGGATATTTGAATGCTAAATTTAGGGTTATTCAAGTTTCAGTATTTTCCCTCCTTTTGTTAAATGCAACCAAATATGAAATAATTAATTAATTTAATAGCCAATGAACAAATGCGTGCAAAAAAACATTACATAAACAATTTTCATATGCTTGTAATTAAGTCAATAAATGCTACAATGGTGCACTTAGTTATGGATAAAATTAGGTACAATTATGTAGTTATTAAAAACTAATTTTTTACGCATAATTGGAGATAGAATTGAATCCGGCTGTGCGTGCACGGTCGAGTGGTTGATGTTAAATTAATAATAAAAAGGATTAGGCCCAAAATGTTGCCAAATAACAGAAAAATAGAATCAATTATCAACCTAAAATATTTCGGTCAATGAAAAAAAAAAACACCAATTCTCTAGACAACATTTTAAAGGAAAAATTTTATAACTGCCCCATATTAAAATTGATTTTTCAAAACAGGTCCTACCTATACACACTACCAAATCTACCCCAAAATTTAAAATAAATAGACAAAGATGAAAAATAAAAGAAACTAAAAATTGTAAACCTGAAAAAAAAAAAAAATCGTGTCATAAAAAAACTGAAAGGCCGTTACTTGAATTAAAAAAAAAAATGATAATGACAGTTAAAAATCGAACAATAATAATTGAGAAACAAAAAATAACTCAAATCAAATCAGATAATAAAACAAAATTAAAAATTAAAAATGATGAAATTTAACTAAAAAAAATAATTGATTCAAGTGAGAATCAACGAGAAAAAAAAAACATTAAAATGATGAAAAGACGAAAACAGATAATTGAAAACACACCTCTTCAATGTGAGACATTCACGTTTACAATATTTTTTGGAATTGTAAAAATAGAGTTAGTTTTTTTTTCCCTGGTAAAGAAGAAGACAAGACGTTTTTTTTTTTTTTAATTTAAAGTTTTTTTGTGTTGTTTGATTGTTGTAATTTATTTATTTTTTGTTTTGTTATCTTATTTCAATTTCATATATTTGAAAAATCAGAGTTAACATGGGGCAGAGTTCTTTTTTATGATTTGCAGAATCATTAACAGTAATCTCATTTAGGTTCATTACCACAGGCAAAAAAAATCAAATGAAGTAACAATAAAACAACAACATAAAAATTATCAAGAAACATAAAAACAACTCTCAATTACCAAAAAATTATCAAGAAACATAAAATTATCTCGGCGCCGCCGCCTTGGCCGTCGCGAACGGCAGGCACTGCGTTACCTTCTGGAACTGGGCAGAGCACTTGCCCGCCAGCGACGATTCGTCCTGCCCGCCCACCAAAACCGCCACGCAGAAGAATGCAATCGAGAATTGGATAAATGCTTTCTTCTCTATTTTTTCTTTTTGTCTTAATTGAAAATAAAAAGTGTGATGGTCAATTGTGTGTGTGGTGTAGTGCGTGTGTTGGAGTAATGGAGTTAATTAATTAATGGGTGGGGAGGGAGTTGGAACAGCATTAATGGCGGAAAAATGTGGTAGTTGGAAGGGGGATTGAGTGTGTGAAGACATCCACAAAGAAGTATAATTAGAAACAAAAAGGAGTAACTTTGTCTAAATAATAAGAAGGAATAGTTATATAAATTGTCTAAACAAATAGATAGTGGGGGTCATTAATTCCATTTTAAACCGAAAGTTTTAAAAAAAGGCCCAATCAGTTATGGATGTACTGGCTATGAATATACAACTTTGTCGTACTTTTTGAGTCCATTGTTAAGTAGATATTAATGTTTTGTTTTTTAAACGCATCTTCTCAAATAATGCGTTCAAACAAAATAATTTATCAACGCGTTCATAAATTGGTAGAAATCTCATTATATTATTGCATTGTTAAATTCTTTGTGCATGTTGTTAAATTATTTGAAGCTAGATTTATAAATGCCATAAAAAATGGGTATGAATATTTTAAAATTATGACAAATATTAGTTATAATTATAAGCTGAACTAGGGCCGACTGTGCGTGCACAGCCACCGGCCAACTAGTATTCTTATAAGAAAAAATGGGTTCTTTTGTAAGGTTGACACGTGGCCAATTTATTGGCCAACACATGGCAAGTTTTAAAATTTTCCCATATCTTACCTCTATCTTCTTTTTTATAATATCTTCTTCTGTATAATAAGAAAAAGAAAATTATGTTGCCAATTTTTTTTGCCGACACGTGGCACCCTTCAATGGCTCCCATTTTACTCTATACGACAACTTTTTGGATCTGTTTTACCAGTGCTACTACCGTGTACCTTGGCACACCTAGCAAGGTGTGCCAAGACAGTTTAAAATGAAAATGTTTCATTACAAAATGAACATGTGTAAACATATTTACACATGTTCATTTTGTAATGAAATATGTTCATTTTAAAAAAACTTTGGCACACCTTGCTAGGTGTGCTAAGGCACACCTAATTATTTGCGCTGTTTTACAATATGTTTCTTTGCATTTTCGTGCTGAAACGTTATCAGTGGACTAAACTACCCTTTCCTGACACTACTTTTTGAGGTTAGTATGGTCATTGTACTATTTAGCCGGTGCCATAGGGGATGGTGAAAAAATCTCAGTGCAGTAGTTCAGGAATAAAGAAAAGAAGTCGGTTGCAAACACAAGCACAGTTTAGAAATTGATTCGCAATATTTCGCTTACCGCCCTTGCACAGTCGCTCTCGATGTAAACGCTAATTCCCAATTTTTGCTTTGTACTAATTTTCCCTCCTCTTCGATATGTTTTTAGATTATCTATTTTGCTCTGTCCATTTATTTATTTTTATTTTTTTTCAAATAATAAGAGTGATATGGGTTTGGTCATATTTGTGCAAATTTAGGTGGATTTTGATTTTATACTTTATTCTTGAGCTTCAAAAGTTGAACTCTATCATCACAGACGTTTCACATTTGGCCAGTTTCTGGAAACGTCAGGAGCAATCTACTCAGTCCAAATCTCTCAACCTCCCCAATTATCCAATTCATAAAGGGTCTGCTGGCGAAAAGACTCTGGCCTTTCAGATGCAGCTGCTATGAACGTGCGTCTATCGTTTTCCAGCTCATTTTGGTAAAAAATGCTGCATTTGTTGTTTTTGTTAGTTTTTGCAGAGTGTATTGGTTGAGACAGGTAAAAAGTTTCAATCTTTTGTGTATAATGAAGTTCTAAAAGACCTCTGTGCTGAATTTGGATAGGTCGTTGAGCCTAATGGCACTACTTATCTCAAGTTTAGCTTTTTTTATTTTATTTTGCTGGATTTAATTATCTAATTTGGTAGTGGTGTTGAGATTGGATTTTTTGTGTAATGAGAAATGGAGTAATGTTGATGGGTCTTGCTTGGATTTGCTTAGATCTGCTGGATTAGGAAATAAATTTGCTGTATTTTGATTAAGATTGGCGTCATTTGTTGAGAGGGGGATTGTCTTTCTTGTTCATTTCATAACCTGGTAGCATTTTGGATCTATATTTCTAATTACATGTAATATCTTCTTCGGTAGAATTTTTTAAATTTAAAAGGAAAGAAAAGGAATATAGTGAATATAGTGAAATAGTGAAATACTGAATTTTAGGTTAGAACCTTCAATTTCGATCATTTACATTGCAATTCAAATCATACTGAATATAGTGAAATACTGAATTCTGCTCTTCCCAGTTTTTTCAGCATTGACTGCTTAAACCATCAATGCTTGAGTTTACATTATCCATATAATTCACACGCAAACACACTTTACAATGTTTAATCTAATTAAAAAGTTTTGATCCCAAGTGGCACAGGGATGCAGGCCAACCCCAATGAAAATCCGGGGCACCTCAGCCAATATCACCACATGCTCCTCCCCTATCCCGAACCCGCCTCCTCCTGCTTCGCGAGCCGTATCCCCTCTTACCAGCCCAGCTCTCTCTCCTCCTTCTTCCTCAGCCCGACCCGCCACAACGGGCCTGTCGAACCCCCTTCAGCCCACCCTTTTGTCTTTCTCGTCAACTCAATCTCTTCATCCCTGCCCCCTCTTCGGATATCAAATAGTATCCCCGTGACTCCTCCTCTCTCTTCCCCCACCCGAGACCCAGCCAAGATGGTAGCCTTCAACTTGGAGGCCCTCGCCAAGGAGTCCATGTCGACCCTCAAGGTCTCGCTTTATGCAGCCTCAGCCCCTGCTAGCCCAGCCCGGACCCACCTCGGGTTCACGCCTGCTACCATCCCCGAGTGTGAGATGAGTTCGACACTTCCACTGTGGACTCTGCCCATGGATAGATCATACATTTTCTTCAGAAGACTCAACATCGAGAAAAAAACTGATATTCTAAAATGTGCAAATGAGAGATGGATGGATAGATCACACCTTTTCTTGAGAAGACTTATTGCATTGTTCTTATTTATTTTACCTTTTTGTTTCTTTCTGTACTTGCATGACCTTATGTATACAATAAATCTTGATCAAAGTTAACACTATGTTTACTTAGCTGCTATCAATATTTTAGTTGTCTTTGATATCTCTTTTATATTCTGATAAGGAAAAATGTTTATCATTCTATATCTGCCTTGTGACGTGCTTTCTGCTTTGCAATTGCCTTTGTTGGGCTGCCACGTAGCCTTAATTTTTGCCCAGCTTTTGTTACTTCATGGCACGCATATTAAAAGCCAATTTGCATTTTTTTTTCTGTCTGAATCAAAACAGGGACGTTTTGTGTTGCTGTGGGATGATAAATTACCTTAGTGACAATACTTTTGGGGGTGGAATGGTACATGAACCCTACAGCTTTATTTGAGGCGATAGTAGAGATTTGTCCTTTATTTTTTGAGCGAAAAGAGGCCACTCCTTCAAGGGTTTTATGCTCCGAAGATCTGCTCTGCGTACCTGCGAAGGGAATTTCGCACTTGCCTGGTGGATGGCCTTCCGAGATTTGCGATGTGTTTCACTAAAATTGTAGGTGTGGTATTTTTATTTTTATTTTGGGACCCTTAATATATTTCTTGGATCAGGTGATTTTAAAGCTTGGCTTAATTTATTTCTTGTGTTCAAATTGATATTTTGTTTTTGTTGCTGACAGATGCTGGATTTCCGGCCAAAGATCGTTTTTTCTGGGATTATGTGGATAGAGCTGCTTGGGGCATTGAGGTTTTTCTACTCTTACTGGCCTGAAAGCTTAGTATTTTCCCATTTAAATGCATTGGTTTCGCCCTTTATTACTTCCCCAATAGTGTTGACTTATAAAAACTCTTTTTTATAGAGTGCAATATGGAAATGCAAGTGATTCAACTAATTAAATTTTATTATTCTTTTCAATCATATGCATATTAAGAAGGGAGAAAATAAAGAGCATATTGTTGTTGAAGATGAAAAGACTTCAGCTGACTACTGCTATTCTTTTAAGGTGCAGAAGCTTGGAGTGGTAAGTAAGCATGTCCCCTTCACATCTTCTTTAGCGATTATTCGACAACCATAATTGGTGTCATTTAACTTGAGGCTTTTGTTTCCAATGTAGATTCCCCCTGTGAAAGAATTTAGGAAGCTTATGAGAATGCAGGCATTACGTTGTCCATGTTGTCTACTGCCAGAACGGAGGTAAGGTTAATGTAATTCCGGTCCTGGCGTCTCGTTCACAAGCTCTCAGGTCAGATTCTTGCTGAATGATTCTGCATTCTTACAACATTTGTTTTATTTCCTCTCGGTCCACGGATGATGCAATGAATGTGAAAGTACTATTGTTGATAGTATTTTTGAAGTTGGATCTTATTATATAACTTAATAACATGTAATAAAAGGAAAAGAATTCATTTTATTTTTATTGTAATACTGAGTTTGTTTTGTTCAATGAAGTGCATTGAGACATCGTATATATATTGGGCGGTGACACACACATAGAAGGCGAAGATGTTGGACATAAAGTCGATCACCTTTAAAGTAAAAAAAATTATACATAATTCGGAATAATAATAGCTTGTAAATATTAAATGAATACCATTCCATAAAGGCAAGATATGATTTATTCGCTGAATTCATTAAATATTTAATGTTCTTCTCATACTTTCTTTTAGCTTCTTTTTTTTTTT